CACTATTCACAATAGCCAAAATATGGAAAGAGCCCAGATGCCCCACAATAGATGAGTGCATCCAAAAAAAATCAGGTATCTATACACAATGGAATTTTACACTGCCATTAGAAAGAATAAAATAATGTCATTTGCAGAGAAATGGATGGGACTAAAACCAATCATGTTAAATGAGATAAGCCAAGCTCAGAGAGAAAAACGGCACATGTTCTTGCTGATATGAGGAAGTTAGGTCTAAAATGCACTGAGATATGACAAACTATACAGGATTCTAGATACTCACACACAGTGAAAACAATACAGGATACTCTTAGGAGAGAAACACAAAGGTGCAATGCCCAAGTGCCTCTTCATATTTATATAAAATAATTTGCATACGGAAATGAACTCCAAGACAGGGAAATAAGACTTTTTTAAAGTTTTTGATGATTCTGTCTTCTTTACTTTATGTATGGTGTACTCACATGTATATCTTCAGAAGAGTAGTGGAAAGGGTACAGAACTTGAGGGAAAATGGGTGAAAAAGTGCAACAGTGGAGCTCACTGGACACTGATGAAAGTGAACTAGGCAACTCATGGATGGAGATGGAAGAGAGGGACTGGGAGAGAATGAAGGAACGCATTACCTGATTCGTGTCATTGTAATCACTCTGTACATCACCTCTATACTATCAATAAAGTAAATTAAGTTAAAAAAAAAAGAGTTCCAACCTGAGTTCAAGCCCAGTATTGGTATACACATACACACACACACACAACACACACACACACACCTTGATGAGGAGGTTGGCACATAGAACAGTATATTGCCTAATTTCCCAAGTCACTGACCACCATACTTAACATATTCAACACTGGGCCTCATGTGTGCATTTGACAATGCACATTTATTGGTTGTTTCATTTTGAGATGAGAGGTGTGTGTGTGTGTGTGTCTGTGTGTGTGTCTTAAGTCTTCCATAACGTACATTAATTAGTTGTTTTGTTTTGAGACGTGTCTCCTGTGTATATTGTCCAGGCTGGCCTCTAACTTGTGATCCTTCTATCTCAGACACCTAATTGTACAACCAGACCCAGTATGTTCCTTTTGCCTTTCCTTGTCCAGACTGAATTTTCAAAAAAAAAAAATTGCCGGATGCCTGTGGCCTAGGCCTGTAATCCTAGCTACTCGGGAGGCTGAGATCTGAGCATGGCGGTTCAAAGCCAGCCAGAAAAGTCCATGAGACCCTTATCTCCAATAAACCACTAGAAAACCAGAAGTGGTGCTGTGGCTCAAACAGTAGCTGAAGAGCGCTAGGACAGTGCCCAAGCCCAGAGGTCAAGCTCCACGACTGACCAAAAAAAAAAAAAAAAAAAGTTTAGTAAGTATCCTAATTGAGAGAGGACAGAAATAACAAGACTCCTACATTGCACAAGGAGGAGGAGAGTAGGGAGTCACATCTGTCTGTTCATGTGGAAACAAATGTCTGGGCAGAGGATGCAAATCCCAACAAGAAAGAGAGAGTAAGCAACACCCACACTGATTAGTGGAAGATGCTGAGGGTGAAACAAGGATGGTTTCCAAGCAGAAAGGTTGTGGTGCCTTGTTGGAAAGTATCTTGTCTTCCAAATGCCGACCGGGCTGCCTTGCCCTCACTTCCCCCAACACAAGCTTGGTTTGCTACTTTGCCTGGAAAATTTCCTTCCAATCCTACTCAGCTTCCTGGCGTTCTTAGGGCCACCTCCCTCTCCACTGTGCTCAGGCCGCCCAGTAGTCTGATAGGTTGAATGCACGAAATGAAAACCTCACAAAACAATCACTTAATGTGACAGAAAGATTGTGCAACAATGAGGTCAGGTAGATTGGGATCCAGTTCGGTTTTCCACTCAGTAGCTAGATGTCATTCCTTTGTATAAGAGGTTAAAGAGAGTCTGATCCTGAATCAAAAACAAAAAAAAGGAAGGTGGCTCAGTGGTAGAGTGCTTGACTCCCATGCATGAGGCCCTAGGTTCGATTCCTCAGCACCACATAAGCAGAAAAGGCCACAAGTGGCGCTGGGGCTCCAAAGCTAGAGCACCAGCCTTGAGCTTGAAGAGCTGAGGGACAGCGCCCAGGCCCCCTAGTTTTGTATTGTACCTGGCACACAGCTGAATTACCACCCTTGCACGAATACACTCTGTATTCACACAGATTGTGAGTTCCCTACCGGGAGGGAATGTCGAACTGGGTTCCAGCTCTCCAAGGCGCCTCCGTGACTAGAATGAATACACAAGACGGTCATTTTTAACTGCTGAATGATTACAGATACATGAATCGGCCTCTTCAGGGCGACCACAAATCCCAACGTGCCGCAGGAATCGCGGCCGGTTCGTGTACAAGAAAAGAAGGTCTACACTACAGACCCGGTCGGGCGTTCACTGGATCCAGCAGCAGGAGGTACCCCGACCGCCGCCGCTGCCGCCGCAGCCAGCCCCAGCCTGGCGCCACGCCTCCGGCTCAGACCTCCCAGGGGAGGGGCGCCTGAGGAGCACGCATGCGCACGGCACCTGCCTTCCTAGCTCCACCCCGCGTGATTTAGCCTGTCCTTCGCTTTTCCCTCGCTGGGTCTTTTTTTGTCCCTTACTGCGTGCGGTACCAGCTTCCCTGCGGAAGTAGTCGTGTGCGAGGGAAGATGGCTGCCGCTGTGGTGGCGGCACCTGGTACGATGACCGGTCGAGCCAACAAGCGTGGTGGCGGCGGGCCGGGGGGAGGCGGCGGCGGCGGCGGCGGAGCCAGAGGGACGGAGGAGGAACCGCCGCCGCCCCTTCAAGCCGTTCTGGTGGCGGACAGCTTCAACCGCCGCTTCTTCCCGGTCTCCAAGGACCGGCCTCGGGTGAGCGCGCGCCGCCGGGGGGCCCGCCACGTGTCCCCGAGGGAGCCTCAGACCGGGCTCCCGTGAGCGGGATGGGGGGCTGGCCGAGCCGGCGGCCGGCACGCGCGGGCACTCGCGGGGCTGCCGGGGTCGGCTGCGGGAGCCATGGCGAAGGCTGACGGCGGAGCCCCGCGGGAGCCCAGCCGAGAGGCTGCGGTTGGAAAACGAGCACCAGTCTCCTTTGGACTTGGGGAGAGCGATACTACACCTTAAGAAGGCTAGATCTCGATTTAGTCTGCTTCCCCCCCCCCCTTTCCACATGGTAATGACAGCCGTGCCATCCATCCAGATGGGTTTAGTGGTATTCCATCAGCCCCGAATTACCTAGACCTGAGATTGCTGGGTCACTCCGCAGTCTTCATTCAGAGCGATCATGGATGGAGCGAAAACCTTGCCTATTACCAAAAGTCTGTCTGTTGGTTGGTTGGTTCCCCAACCCCCCCCCCCCACACACACAAGTGGAGGAAGGAGGGGAGTGTGGATGGCCCATAACCCTTAGAAAAATACCAAGGAAGGCAATTTTATGGAGAAGGCCTGAGCAGTGCCAGAGTTCTAGGGAAATGATTGATTTCCTTTGCCAGCAGTGGTCTGCTGTTCTGTAACAGGGCTGTGTTCAAGACTTAACTAGATTCCATGACCAACTCAGGGCCCAAATAGTAGCATCTTAAACTCTGAATAATGTTCATGCGGAGAACATTAAAGGCAGGAGCCTGGTTAGCCTTTGAATGTGACACGATAAAGCAAATCTGTAGTGTTTGAAAATACTGATAGAAGAGTAAAATTTGTGGTAGTGAGGGACCCCAAAGGGCCTTTATGGATTGAATACCTCAATTTTTTTCATGTTTTATCCTGCAGGCCCTCTTGCCTCTGGCCAATGTGGCATTAATTGACTACACTCTGGAATTCCTGACTGCCACAGGTGTACAGGAAACCTTTGTCTTTTGCTGCTGGAAGGCTGCTCAGATCAAAGAACATTTACTGTAAGCCCCTGCCACTTTTCTTTCCATGTTTGATCTTCTTTCACTTGTTTTGTTTTTTCAGGATGAATATAACTAAGTGGAATATGAGGGAACATGTGTATTTAGTTCCCATTGTAAGATCTAAGGTGTTCTGTTCACTTTTTTTTTGGTTGTGGGGCTTGAACTCAGGGCCTGGCCACTGAGCTCTTTTGCTCAAGGCTAGCACTCTACCAATTTTCTAGTGGCTAATTGGAAATGTCTCTCATGGACTTTCCTGTCTGGGCCGACTTTGAACCACAATTCTCAGATCTCATCTCCTGAGTAGCTAGGATTAAAGATGTAAGCCACCATTGCCCAGCTCTGTTCACTTTTAATGAAGTGAACATCTGGAATCTTTATCAAGGTTCTTGTAATAAAAGTTAAGGAATGACAGGTGCATTTTTATGAGTTTCATTTATAAAAAATAGTCCCAGTAAGTTTTACTCTATTTAATGGTTATAATATGTAAATTACTAAAACAACTGAATATCTACACATTGTTCTGACCCTTAAACATAGAAATAAGCTCTTTCTTTTTTTCCCATTACTTGAGTTAGTATACAACATATAGTAAGCCCTTAACAAATACCTTTTGAAATCTTGGCAAAGAGAATTGCAGAATTAATGGAACTTTAAGAAATAAACACTAGGACACTGACTTCTATCATACAGTTACTAAATTTGATAATAGACTTTAGAGTAGGAAAAGTAACATGAAAAGTGTGTTCTCAGAATGCTTCTATACTCTATATTTCTGTAGGATTTTGAGTTCAACTCCAAATTCAGGGACATAGGTTCAGTTATTGGGAGGAGATAACCATGTTTCTCCAACCCATAAAACAAAAACTAGTGACACAGGATGCTTAAAGCATTAATTAAATCTCTTTGAAGTTGAGGACGCTGGCAAGGATCCAATAAAACAGTGTTGATGCTGAATGGAGGGAGGTGGGGAAGGTCCATGGGATCTTTATGCTTGATTTGCTCATCCCTTTACTCCCTTTCCTATAGAAAATCCAAGTGGTGCCGTCCTACATCCCTCAATGTGGTTCGGATAATTACATCAGAGCTGTATCGATCACTTGGAGATGTCCTTCGTGATGTAGATGCGAAGGCCTTGGTCCGCTCTGACTTTCTTCTAGTCTATGGGGATGTCATCTCAAACATCAATATTACCAGAGCCCTGGAGGAACACAGGTCAGGATGAAAAAGAGGCAGTGAGAAGGGCTAGGGACTAGCAGAGCACTAAGCTGCTCTTGCAGCTGCCAATGACAGTACCATCCTATTTTTTATAGGTTGAGACGGAAGTTAGAAAAAAATGTATCTGTGATGACAATGATCTTCAAGGAGTCATCTCCAAGCCACCCAACTCGTTGCCATGAGGACAATGTGGTGGTGGCTGTGGACAGTGGCACAAATCGGGTTTTACACTTCCAGAAGACCCAGGGCCTCCAGCGCTATTCATTTCCTCTGGTATGTAGTATTTGGGGAACCCCAGGTAAGCAAGTGGCTAGCTTCAGCCGGAGAAATAAGCTAAAGTCCTGTATGTTCTTCCATACAGAGCCTGTTCCAGGGCAGTGGAGATGGAGTGGAGATTCGATATGATTTACTAGATTGTCATATCAGCATCTGCTCTCCTCAGGTAAACTCTGAGACATCCAATAAATCACTTAGGGCCTGTTATTGTCCCCTTATAAAACAAGTGTACATTTCTTCTTGCCTGATTTAAAACAAAAAGGCTATCATCTTCTCCCCCGTGGATTGAATGCCATGGATTCTAGTTCTTGTCCAGTTGTTATGGGTTTAACAAATCTTTAGGTTTTTGCTCACGGGAAAAGCACCTAGCTTTAGCCCACCCCTTTTTCTCCCATAGGTGGCTCAACTCTTCACAGACAATTTTGACTACCAAACTCGAGATGACTTTGTGCGAGGCCTATTAGTAAATGAGGAGGTGAGAAAAGGCTTCCAGAGCCCCTTTTAGGGGAAAGAGGGCTGTGGTTTTATCTCACTCTGGTAATTTTTTTATTCCTTCTTATGTTTTATTAAGCTTTACAAGGAAAAAAAATAACTAGAAGACTGAGGAAAACAATCTATTAATAAGGAAAACCTCTCAGGCCTTTTAACTATTAACAATGAGAGGCAGAGAGGAATGAAAAGGCTTAGAAAGATGTAGTACCTGGTGATGTTCTTCCTGTCTTGCTTGTTTGAGTGATCTTCCTTCCTTTCTCCTCATTCAGATCCTAGGGAACCAGATTCACATGCATGTAACAAGTAGGGAATATGGTGCCCGGGTTTCCAACCTCCACATGTACTCTGCTGTTTCTGCTGATGTCATCCGCCGATGGGTCTACCCTCTCACTCCAGAAGTGAACTTTACTGACAGCCCTACACAGAGCTGCACTCATTCCCGACACAACATCTACCGTGGGCCTGAGGTCAGCCTGGGCCACGGCAGCATTCTGGAGGAAAATGTGCTCCTGGGCTCTGGTACTGTCATTGGCAGCAATTGCTCCATCACCAACAGTATCATTGGACCTAGCTGCCACATTGGTAAGCACAGCTAGTGAGGGACTCGTGTCAACTACCTAGGAACAGGAACCTTGGTCCTCGTGTCTTTACCACAGGGATAGTCCTCGGGAATAAGGAACTAGAGTGGCTTACCTTAAAAAAGGAGGAAAATCAGCCAGTCATCCCAGCTACTCAGAATGGTGACCTTAGGAGTTTGACACTAGCTTGGGCAACATAGTGAGGCTCGATCTTGAAAAAAAAGAAAAGAATGGAGAGAACTAGAATATGTTGTAAATCTCTTAGGGATAATTTTTTGCATTCCAGATACCCTGTATTCAGGGCCAAGTAGATAATTAACATGCAGTAGTAACCTCTGTTTAGTGCATTGCAGTTTACCAAGGACTTTTATTAGTTTATTTAGTCCTCACAAGAACTTTGGTAGGTAGGTAGGTATTATTTATCCCTAAGTTACTAATACACTTAGAGAGGTTGTCTTGCTCAGAGTCATAGCTAATAAGAGGCAGTACTCAGACCTGAATTCTGAGTATTCTAGTTATAGGTCCAGTGTACTTTTTACTTTCTCATAACTCTAGTCACTTTGGTTTTAGGAATGCAGTCCTTCTAATGGTACTGCCCCTTTACAAGAACAATGCTAAAACAAATTCTGTGATACATTAGAAGAGATGGATTAATGTAACTCTACTTGTACACATGAATATGATTCTCATAAGTTTCGGGGTTTATCCCAAGAAATCTTGAGCTCCATATAGTATAGTATACAATGGTTGTAAACTTGATAGGGATTAGCCAGACTGAAAGCAATGTTCTACTAGGCTGGGGCTAGAGGCTAAGTGAATGTTTCTGAGTCATTGGGGGCATTGTGTTGAAATTAGGTAGCAGCTGTCAGTCAGCCTTTCCTTCGTGATGGAACCTTCAGTCACCAAAAGTCCTTTCCATCCTGAGCCAGGTGATAATGTGGTCCTGGACCAGGCCTACCTGTGGCAAGGTGTTCGAGTAGCTACTGGAGCACAGATCTACCAGTCTCTTCTCTGTGACAATGCTGAGGTCAGGGAACGAGTTATACTGAAGCCACGCTGTGTCCTAACTTCCCAGGTAAGATCTGTTCCATACTGTGCACAAGCTCTGAATTGAATGATGATTATGTTAAGCCAACAGGGACTTATTTCTACTGTAAGTCAGCCTGATTTGAGAAGCCAATTCCACTGATTTAATTTACCTTCTACTTGGCTCAGTAAAAAAAGAAAAATACCACTCCAATTGTGATGGGTCTGTGCCATTCACTCCTTTTTTTCTCCCGTAGGTGGTAGTAGGACCTGATATCACACTGCCTGAGGGCTCGGTCATCTCTTTGCACCCTCCAGATGCAGATGAAGATGAGGACGATGGCCAGTTCAGTGATGATTCTGGGGCCAACCAAGAAAAGGAAAAAGTGAAGCTGAAAGGTGTGAGGCTCAACAGGTGTGGGGCATCTGTGCACCCTCTTCCCATAGGAAAGCCACCCTCTCTTTCTGGAGTGATTGATACTGTCACTGGGATTTCTGTAAAGATGGGTCCCTTTTTCAGGTTACAATCCAGCAGAAGTAGGCGCCGCAGGCCAAGGCTACCTCTGGAAAGCTGCAGACGTAAACACAGAGGAAGAAGAAGAACTACGGCATAGTCTATGGGGTGAGTTAGTCTTTATGCCTGCCTTCCTCCTCCTAAGTCTGAATACTCTAAATATACTTGGGAGTCAGTTATTTGTTCATTTTTCTCTCATGCAATATATCTTCTCTCAGATGATATATCCATGGTTTTTCCTTATTTTTCTCTTTTTCTATGTTCTCAGGACTCAAAATCAACTTGGAAGAAGAGAGTGAAACTGAAAGTGAGCGAAGTATGGATTCTGAGGAGCTAGATAGCAGGGCTGGCTCCCCTCAGTTGGATGACATTAAAGGTGAGTGTCCAGGGGAACAGAGACTTGGACAAAAGGCCAATTTAGCCAGGCTCACAACTATAAGCCACTCAGAAGGCCGAGATCTGAGGATTGAGGTTCAGAGCCAGCCCAAGCAGACAAATTCATGTGACTCTTATTTAAAATTAACTAGCAAAATTTTGAAGTAGAGACTTGGCACAAGTGGTAGAGCACCAGTCACAAGTGAAAAAGCAGAGCAAGAGCATAAGGCCCTGAGTTCAATTCCCAGTACTGGCAAGGCTAGTTTATTCTTTGTCTACATCAACTAGCCAAAAGCTCTTTTCCTTCCAAGTGATTTCTTTCTACTACCTGACCATTCAAAATGGTGTTAACCTATGAACTTACTATTTTTCAGTGTTTCAGAATGAAGTTCTGGGAACATTACAGCGAGGCCAGGAGGAGAACATTTCTTGTGACAATCTAGTCTTGGAGATCAACTCTCTCAAGTAAGAGCAATTCTCTGCTTCCCCCCCATTCTCCTCCTGTTGGCAAGTTCAGACAGGTAGAGCTTCTCTGCCAAATGTTTCTTCCCCATGTAGGAACCTAGTTCCTCAGTGTTCCCAAATGGAGACCAGGAATAGCTTCTAACCTCGTCATAGACTTCTTCCAAAACCCTCCTTCCTGTTTGTTCCATCTGACTTTCTCCCCTCCAGTATGCTGTCAAAGTCATAGTCAGCATACCGAACAACCCAGTAAAGCCATTTTGTCCACTAATCTCCCCCCAGGTATGCTTACAACATAAGCCTAAAGGAGGTAATGCAGGTACTGAGCCATGTGGTCCTGGAGTTCCCCTTGCAACAAATGGATTCCCTACTTGACCCAAACCGCTACTGTGCCCTGTTGCTTCCTGTGAGTAAAGATTGGGGCTGGGGACAAGGGTTGGGGTGAAAACAGACATAGGTCCTTCCTGTGCCTGACTTTAAAGGAAGTTAGGAATATTATATGGCATCTGGTTTCTTTTTCCTTGAAAGCTCCTTCAGTTCTAGAGCAGCTTTGATTGGTTCAGGAGAGTCAGGTTGAATTTAATCCTGAATGAGTTTTGAGATTCCAGAATTCAGACCATACAAACCTCAAAGCAACATATAGAAATAGAGCTGAAGCTGGGGCACCGGTGGCTCACACCTGTAATCCTAGCTATTCAGGAGGTTGATAGCTGAGGATCACAGTTCAAAGCCAGCTCAGGCAGGAAAGTCTGTGAGACCCTTATCTCTAATTAACCACCAGAAAACTGGAAGTGGCGCTGTGGCTCAAGTGGCAGAACACTTAACTTGAGCTGAAGGGCGCAGGGACAATGCCTAGGCCCAGAGTTCAAGTCCCCAAAATAATAATAATCAATAATCAAAAATAATAGATCTACGGGGCTGGGAAGGTGGCTCAGTGGTAGAGCACTTGCCTTGCATGCCTGAGGCCCTGGGTTCAATTCCTCAGCACCACATAAGCAAAAAGAAAAAAGCCAGAAGTGGTGCTATGGCTCAAATGGTATAGCCCTAGCTGAAGAGCTGAGGGACAGTGCCCAGGCCCAGAGTTCAGGCCCCATGACCGGACCCAATAAATAAATAAAATAAGAAATAAAAATAATAGATCTGGATGTTTAGGTTTTATAAAAATGATGTATGCCCTAGAACAAGATCAGCCTCTGAGATAAAAGGAGGTATTTGGTGCAGCCTATAACATCATACTCCCTTTTGTCTTCCCTAACCCTGACTGAATTAGGTCCCTCTGTAATTCTACAAAGTCTATATCATCTCCCTGTTGTCCTCCCATGTTATAAAAGATACATGTCATCAACATTGTCTTTGCTATTCAGGTATAGCTGCATTTTCAGGAATATATTATAGCTCATTTCTTTTTTCTTTAGTTGCTCAAGACCTGGAGCCCTGTTTTTAAGAACTACATAAAGCGTGCTGCTGACCATTTAGAAGCATTGGCAGCCATTGAGGAATTCTTTCTGGAGCATGAAGCATTTGCTACTACCATGGCCAAGGTGAATACTGCATAAAACCCTATGTTCCTTCATTTGTTTTGAAGCAGGCCTTGGTGACAAAACAGAAGCTAACATGAACTCTCAGTATGGAGTTTGGTTCATAGCACCATCTGCCTCCAGTTTTGTGCTTCTCACTAGAATAGTAGAGTTTGAAATAGGTATTGGTAAGGTAGCCATTTATGGAATCCTGGTGATATGCAACATTATCCAGGAATAATTCCAAAAGTTATACCTATCCCAGTACCAGAGTGAATAGCTCACTGTTGTCTGCTTTGGAGGAGGCTACTTAGTGTATGTAAGAAGCTGAGGGCTTGGTACAGATGATAAGGCCATACCTCTTCTCCTTCCATTATCCATCTACTTTATCTCACTGGGCTCTGCAAGGCCCCTGACATCCCTTTTCCTGGCCTCCTGCAGGTCCTGATGGCTTTCTACCAGCTGGAGATTCTGGCTGAGGAAACAATCTTGAGCTGGTTCAGCAAAAGGGATATAACTGACAAAGGTCGACAGTTGCGCAAGAATCAGCAGGTGAGTTAGGCTGTCTTCTATTCACCAAGGTTTCATGATCCTTGAGCCTAGACTCCCAGGACTCTGGTTCTTAGCACTGTTTATCTGCTAAGGGGAGGGAGCAAGGAGCAGTAGGGTACATGACCCTCTCGCAGTAGCTCTCCCTTTGGCTTCTTTACAGCTGCAGAGGTTCATCCAGTGGCTAAAAGAGGCAGAAGAGGAGTCATCTGATGACTGAAGTCGCAAAGCCTACTTCTGTGGTGTGCTTGGTTGCCCTCCTGACTCCTGGAACAGGACAAGTGAGGAGCTAGCTACAGAAAGATCAGTGATGACCACCAAGGCTGAGTTAAAGGAACGGAGGCTGGACTGTAGTGTTCTTCCCACCACCAGTAACCATGTGCCTCCCATCCTGCAGGGGGAGTTGAGATGAGGGAAGTTTGGGCTGGAACAAAGCTCTGACTCAGGGAGAAGCTAGATAGCCCCTACAGGTGGAGGAAGGCCAGACGAACAGCTTTCTGATTGGCTTTCCCTCAGGAAACACCAGAGTGCATCTGGCCCTCTTTGCTGCTTGTATTTGTTAATATTAAAGAGAGAGAGGATAGAGTATTTGATTTTTCTCCAAGTGAAGACTGTATGACCAGGGCTGTAAAACTCTTGACATGACATAGCAGCCTTTCCCTAACACCTGGAGGAAAGGGAGGAGTGTTGTGGCCACTAGATGGTAC